AGTCTATGGAGGTTGTTTGAATACATAAGTTCTTAAATGAACTAGGGGTAGTTCCAAGTGCTGTTCATCTAATATTTACATATTATGATAGAATCATGTGATTGCACGGGCAAGGGAACCCAGATCCAACAACAAAATAAACATGTATAAAGGCGCTATCATTTATTTTGAGATAATTGATAGAGAAGAAATAAGTTAGAACGTGTTCAAATTGAACATAATTTAAATAGTTCATTCACCAAATCCTTATGCATAGTTGAGCACAATAATCGTTTTAAGAAAATGAGTATTAAATACATTGGTGATTGGCTCTAGTTCAAGTGGGAGATTGTTGGTATATGTGTCTCTTCGTTTCAAGAAATTGAGTATTAGATACATTGTTGATTGCCTCTAGTTCAAGTGGGAGATTGTTGGTATATGTTTTTAAGGACATATATACATGATCACAATAATAATTATATTAGATTATAATTATGGTATTGCAATCAATTAAGTAATTGTTTGATCATTTGCAATTTATTAATTAATTGCTCTTTTGAGTTGTTACTGTCATTAACATAGTGAGATGTGAATTGATAAAGTATAACTCTGAAATTGCCTCAATCGATGATCATTTAGAAAGAGATATTAATGATACGCGATAGATTAACATGTGGTCTGCATCATATTCTCAGAGAATATAGTATGTATCACTGCTATGAATAATTGTTATTCGTGATTGACACATGGATACTTTGGAGAGTATTGGCATACCCAACCGATTAACTATTTGTTTATGTGTCTATGGGAGTATCAGTGTGTGGAATGGTGTAATAGTCCTTAATTTGACATGAGGTCAATACACAATTCATGTATAGAGTGATTTACTTAGATCTAGTCCAACGCTTACGTCCTTATGGGTAGATAGGAGCTTGTGTTGGGTAGATCAAGATACATATGGAATTGATAGTTGAACCAAGATAGAATTCATTCCTCGATAATATGGTTTCGAGAGAACAGTCGTTTCTCTATATTGGGTTGATAAAGTCATTGGCCAATGCAACACGTGATTATATTTGAAGTGGTGTTGAAATATAATTAATAAAATCAACCAGTAAGATGAGATAAAATGATAAAGTTGTTTGGATAGACACACATTCAAGTCTTAAGTTTAATCGAGTGGTTCGTGAATGAAGGGACCGTATCGCTATTAAATTCTACACTAAAGGTTTGTTTGTATTGTCCATGTAAACGTAATTCATATTTTGGGTCCGTCCTTCGACGCAGTCTAGGAGTTTTGTAAGGATCATAAATTAGATTTATGTCAATATATGAAGGCTTATAGGGTCACACAATATGCAATCAATTTTCAAACTAAGAGTGAATCGAGAGTGTTAAATATTCAATTAGATTGGAATATTTATTTATGAGTAATTGGATTATTTTATATTTGATAGAAAATATTTAATTAAGTTAAATTGAATTTTATACTTAATTAATTTATTAATTGGATTAGGTCCAATTACCTATTGGGTTTTAAGGTCTCCAATGACCCATATGATTAGGTTTGACCTAATTAAATAGGTCATTATCTCATTGTAGTCTTAAACGATCATTAGATGAGAGAAGATGAGAGAAGATTCATCGTAAAATAAAAACACTCTCTACCTTTCTGGATCGAGGATTCATAGCTTCTTCATCGGAAGAGATTCATTGGCGATATCGTGCACAGGAAAACTGGATTGTGCGGATACCATAGTCGAGTAAAAACGACGAATAACTGTATGTTTTCGTGTATCATTCACGCGATCTAAGATCATATCGAATAGGTATAGCCGGATCTTCGTTGTTGGTAAGAAAATTTTTAAAAATTCCGCTGCGCGTACGCTGGGTTTGTACGCTAAAATCCAACATTTGCTCATAGATTCTTTAGTTTAAGTTCGTGTAAATCAATCCCCATCAAGTGAGTATAATGTGTATGACCTTATTTTCGGTTATGTGAATTGACAACAAGATAGTGAACCAAACTCCGAACAGTCTTCCTTTGAGAACGACCTAAATCGGGTAGCTCGGTTACCATCTACCCACAAAATACTACAAAAACTTGTAGCAGTTGTTATTAAGTTTTATTTTAGGGGTTCCGTGTTTTTACATAACACTAATTTAAAAACAAAATATATGTCAAAAGTGTTATCTGAATGTATTTTTGGCGTAGTGTATAAAGCAACATGTGGTCTCTAGGTCCTCTACTGAAGCTAAATATTGAAGTGTTGCACAAGTTACTTGTTGAATCATGTGGATACACTCTCTTCTTAATGAGTTGAGGATCAAGTTTCAAAGCCTAGTGTGATATGGGTTGATAATAGAGGGGTTGTTTGGAAAGGAATCTTGTAAACCACTCTAGAACAAAGCACCTTGAGTTAGACCTCCACTTAATGAGAGAAACAATAGAAGACAAGATATCTCAGTACAACACATCCCAACAATTGAAACAAGTTGTAGACATCTTTACCTGGACATTACCATGACATTATTTGCATGCTTGAGAAATAGCTTGATGCCAACTTCTAGCACATGCATAGAATTGAAGGGAGGTATTAAGACTTCAACTCCAACTCATCATGACCATGTCGGCATACACATGTGAGACTTGTAGTGCATGAAGACAGAGAAAAGGAATCGAGCTATCAGATGCCATGCGTGAAGTTAAAACAAGCTCTCGTGACTTAGCTATGGTTCAAAACTGTAACCCGACATTTAAGGATAAGGGTAACATGTGGCCCATGTCTCCAGGTGTAGCTAACTATTGATAGCCATCATATCTAAGATTTAGGAATAGATATAAAGAGGCGTGCGTGCATGTTGTAAGTCGTACCAAGAAAGTTCAGAATTAAAAGAAAAAGAGAGAGTTTCCTTGATATGAACTTATTTTGTTTTGCCCCATATAATGATCAGATGTAGAGATGTTAAACGGGTTAGCCTTGGCGGTTTCGAGCTAGCTCTAGTGAGCTTCGAGCTAAACGGTCCAGACAAAAGAAACCCAAATTTAAACGGGCTACCAATAAAGAGACCTAATTGTCACTCTAGCGGGTCTCGGGCTAAACGAGTTACACATGTTGTAATAATAATAATAATAATAATAATAATAATAATAATAATAATAATAATAATAATAATAAAAATAATAATAATAATAATAATAATAATAATAATAATAATAATATGTCAAAAATAAAAAAAAATATGTAAAAAAATTACAGCGACTAGTTAACGATTGTTTTCAATGACTATTCAATATTTACCGTTCTATATATACAACTACACTTCATATATGAACACACATTACAAATCTTTTAAATGACATATTATTACTTATTTTGTACAATTTTGAATTTTTCACGACAATGTATCACACTGCTGAATTTTTATTCTATCACTATGTTCTATGTGTTAGGTCTTTATCTCATTTGTTTCCTATTAGCCATTCTGATTGGTTTAAATATTTTTTTTTGTTTTTGTAGTAGAATAACAAAATTTTTAATAATTATCTTTCAAAATCATAATAACTCGTTACAACTCATACTTACATATGAAGTAGAATAGCAAAATTATAATATACAAGGAATCTTAAGGCATATTCCTTACCTACTACAAACATTTACACCGTCCAACTCATGTTAAACGAGTTAGCCCTAGCGGGTTTCGGGCTAAACGATCTGGGCCTAAAAAACCCTGATTTGAACGAGCTACAAATAAAGGGCTCTAACCCTTTTTTTTTCTAAATGGGCCGGCCCGTCGAGCCAGGGAACTGATTAACATCTCTAATCACATGTTCTTATTTAGCCTTTCTTTTTCTTTCAACCCCAAGTAGAAAATCATGGATCTGATGCTTGATTAAACAAAATGGCCCATTATAAGGTGTATATGAGCCCATTCACTATGTTACCATGAATTAGAATTTCCAACCATATATGTTCTATCATTAAATTTCAATTTCAACGTTTATAGTATGTGTATAACACAACACCATAACAGTAGGCGCAACGTTTCTAATCGGAGTGGTTCCTCTTCCAAAAACATTGTACGAGAGCCATTCTAAGCCATATGAACATTGTACACTACAAGAAAACACTTAAGTTACAATGAAAAATTCCAACGGCAAACATTTCGGTTGGAAATTTCAGTGAATATTCCAACAAACTTAATTTTATGTTGGAATAAGTGTTGGATGGTTGAGGAATTTCAACGGATCTTTTCCGTTAGAATAGCTGCAGGAATTTATTTTTATAGGATTTTCCGTTGGATTTTAGCTATTCCAACGGCCGTTTTTTCCACGAATTTTTATACGTGGGAATATCCGTTGGAATAGCTATTCCAATGGAAATTATAAAGAATTCCAACGGAAATTTCTGTTGGAATGTAAGAGTTTTTTTTTTGTAGTGCACTACAAAAAAACACTTCAATTCCAACGGCAAAAATTTCTGTTGGAAATTCTAATGAATATTCTAACAAACTTAATTTTATTTTGGAATAAGTGTTGGATGGTTGAGGAATTCCATAGGATTTTTTCCGTTGGAATAGTTGTAGGAATTTATTTCCATAGGATTTTCCGTTGGATTTTAGCTATTCCAACGGCCGTTATTCCAATGAATTTTTATACGTAGGAATATCCGTTGGAATAGTTATTCCAACAGAAAATATAAAGAATTCCAACGGAAAATTTCCGTTAGAATGTAAGAGTTTTTTTGGTAGTGTTTAAACCACCAACCAATTAACAAGTTATTAATTATTAGCCAATTTCTCAATAACTAGCAATTGGTCGAAAAAGAAAAAAAGAAAAAAAAAAAGAATAACATTGAGAAACTCCAAATCACCACCATTAATCCTTAAAACAAACATACCTAGATAAACGTAAATCCAAAATACAAAGATAATAAACAAGATCCTTGAATCCTTCATCTTGTCTTCTTAAGTCACCCCTCAAAGAAAAAAGCAAAAGAAAACTAGAAAAGAGAAAACAATCAAGGACTGTGTCGATCAGCCGATGAACCCGCGGCTGGGGCTGCATTATTATTATTAGCCCTGTGGTAACAGATCCATCTTCTCAGCATGTTCCTCGTTATACCGACCTCCGAACATATACGCCTGATTTCCTCCTCGGAATGATCGCGAAACATCCTCCACTCGTTCCTCTCGGCTATCTCCCTCATTCTCTCGCTTTGCTCTCTAGTTATTCTGTTTCTAACCCTAGCGGGCCCCGTTTCGCGAAGCCCGCTCACCACTTCTTGCCTTCCGTTGGCAGAAGGGCTATTGCTGGAGGGTTCTTGGGCTTGTGGCTGCTCATCAGATGGCTGATGATGTGGGCTTGTGGGGTTTACATTCTGAGTTGAATAATTATGTGGGAGATCTACCTCAACCCTACGGTGGAAGTTGCGGTGACAACCGCATGCAGCGCAGAAGAGGGACTCGGGTGTGGCGTTTGGCCCGTTGGGCTCGAAAAGCCCGCAACCGTCGAGAGTGAAGCCTTGAGCTTGGGCCGCATGGTTGTGCTGGCAGTCCTTGAACATGACTAGGACATGCTGCTGATGGAAGTTGGCCATTTTAGGGATTCACAAAGAGAAGAGGAGTTTTCTTCTTTTTTAGGTTTTCTGTTTTTTTTTTTTTTTGGGTTTGTAGCTTGGTTTGGTTGGTGAGAAAGAGGACTGTGTTATATGCAACATATTTTTGTCTTTGCTTACCTATCTCATTAAAGAGAGATTCTATCTCTATGTGTGTCTGTATCATGACTGTACAATTAATTATGTTAATTTAATTTCTTTTTTTAGGTTTCAAATATATGGATATTTAATTACTAAAATAAAAATTTCAAATTCTACATAGTTGGTTCATCGATATATCGCACTACAAGAAAATGGTTAAATTCCAACAGAAAATTTAAATGATGAAAATATAATATTAATTCCAACGACAATTGCAATCGATTAGATATTCCAGTGTTATAGTAACTTGCGTTAGAATTATTCTTTTTTTTATTATTATTATTTTACAGTTAGGAATATGATATTCTTGTTAACTATGTTTGGCGCAAGACGATCATTCGTGCTACCTATTCGACGCCGCTATATCACATACTGCATTTATTGCAATCATAGCACGATCGATTATTGGCGTCTCGTGAATGGCGAGTATATTTATGCACGTAGAACCTCGCTCGGTGGCGCGATTTTATGTAATTTCAAAGTAATTAACAGTAGAGTTTTTGGAATTTTTTTTTTTTTTTTTCATAAAAGGAAGTTTTAAATTAGGGTTTTTAGATTTTTATGTATCTTCTACATGCAAAATTGCAAATTTAGTATATGCAACAAGATTAAGCAATGCTTACGGCATTTTCATAAATGAGGTTCTGCCCGTTGGTTTGTTGTTTAATTATTTTTTTGTATTTACATCATGATGAGTAGCTACCAGCTAATCCCAGAAATACAATTTTCAAAAGAGAAATTTTTTTTTATTTATTTATTTATTTTTTTTTTTTGTGATGCATATATGAATTAATTGTTGTACCAACGGGCTTGAGTTTGAGAAACATATATACAAAGCATGATGGGAAAATGCTACGCCCGTTACGAAACCATTCCGTTGGGTTTGTAACTGTTAATTAGATTATCGTATAACTGTTGGAGATAGTTAATCTAACGGTTACAAAACTCGACGGAATAGTTCCGTAACGGACCGTAACATCATGATAGTGATATTAAATACTGACAGACTGTAAATCAATGTTGCTTTGCTTAATTGAACTGTATCAAATTAATACTTACTATATACGGTTAATTAATTTATTAATAAGTGCCATTTTTTAAAAAATAAAAATAAAAAAAAAAAATTGACAAATTAATGAAAAAGTTAAACCTCAAAAAGTCACTTGTAAACAAAGTGAGTATTTACGTTGTTTTCTATGTTGTTCCTCTCTCGTCCATTTCTCCACACCTGAATACACAAATCTTGACTCTATTGTTCTATATTTGTTCCTTGTACTTTTATTATATTTTTCAAAGAATGATTCAAAAGTAAGCTCAATTGCAAATCTTCAAAATAATTAAAATGAAAAGGACTCTCAGTGTATAAAAAAGGTTAATCACGAGTAAATAATATTAAATTTGTTATTATAAACTAAATGTTGGTTATCTGTTTACAGTACATTAATATAAAATAAAATTAGCCGTCATCATGGAAAATTGAGACCGTAAATTAATTTAAATAAGATTATCGTCATCGTTAAAATTGGGAAAGAGTGTTGGAGTACCATGTAAAATTTTCAACTCATTAACATGAATGGATTGGTCTCAATCTGTACTAAACATGCTATTGGTATTTGCAACATATAGTTATTTTTATTATTATAAATTACAAATTGAACTTCATGAACATTCATAATTTGCACGCTCGCCTATTACTTGATGTAAAATTACCTAAGTCTTCTCACTTACCTCAGCACGATGATGTGGAAAAGGAAGATGACTCAGCTAAGGATGATGACGTGGAAAGCAAGAGCATGCATGGAGACAAAATAGGAGCAGCACCTGATGCATGTTACTTGGAGAAGAAGGACTGCAGTGCTGAGAGCCAAAATGCTCCAACGGCTACACAGTACAATGACAACTCATGCCATGCACGTGGAGGGCTGAGATCTCTTCATAAAATAGGAATGGATAGGATTTATTGTAGCAGTCTCATAGCATGTGCTGTTTAGGGTTACTGGCTGCTATATATATATGTAGTAGGGGCTGTCTCTACGGATGTAACACAAAAACCGAAAACTCAGATCCAAGATTGATATTAAACACAGCAACTCCTTCTTGAATTTTATGTTTTTCTTCATGTTTTTCAACATGGTATCAGAGCATGGTTGAGGCCATGTCTCTGATATCCTCCTTTGTTCTTCTCTACTATTTCCTATTTTTCCTTTAAGCTTTCCATAGCCATGGCAGACTCTCACTCGTCCACCACAGGAACTCAAGGAAACTCACCTGCAAATTCCTTAATCTTCCCACAAAGCCAGCTTATCTCTACAAAGCTAGATCAAGACAATTATCTGATATGGAAGCAGCAGATTCTCACCACAATAAAGGGATATGGTCTGGAGTCTTTCATCAAACAAGAAACAACAGCTCCTCCAAAATTTCTGGAAGGAGAGCTCACCATCAATCTAGACTTCATCATGTGGGAGAGACAAGATTCACTACTTGCTTCTTGGATGCTGTGCTCACTCTCAGAGAGCATACTTGTTCTTATGGTAGGCTTAAACAGCTCAAGGGAGATATGGGATGCCCTAGAAAGAAACTTTGCTAGCCAATCCAAGGCTAAGATAATGCAGCACAAAATGCAGCTTCAAAACCTTAAGAAGGGAAATCTTTCTATGGCAGAATACTTGAGGAAGATCAAATCCATCTTTGACATGCTTGCTTCAGCAAATGAGTTTGTTTCTGAGAGCAACAAAATCATGCACATCCTTGGAGGCCTTGGCTCAGAATATGACTCTGTGGTGGTGACAGTCACATCAAGACCTGAATCATTCTCCATGGTGGACCTACAAGCCTTGTTGCTAAGCTATGAAAATAGACTTGAGTCATATGGAAGCAGCAACATAAGCTCAGATGGCTCACAACCCTCTCTCAACACAATCTCTCAAGCAAGTCAGAATCAGAAAAGAACCTTCAATCAAAATGAGAGCAAAGGGAGGGGAGGTTTCAATCATTTTAGAGGAAGAGGACAAAGGGGGAATTTCAGAGGCAGAGGTGGCCGGTCAAGTCAAGGGATTAGCTGCCAAATATGCCAAAAGGTTGGGCATGCTACAAGCAAATGCTGGTACAGATTTGACTCCAGCTTTGCCCCTCAAGCAAATCAGAATGCTCAAGCAAACAAGCCACCAAATCTCAATGTGGCTCAAATGAACAGCTATGCATCATCTGAGGCTGGCCAGGAAAGCTCCTTGTGGTTCCCTGATTCAGGAGCAAGCAACCACATCACAAATGACTTTGGAAACTTCAGCTCAGCAAATGAATATACAGGCCAGCACAAGCTTCAACTAGGAAATGGAGCAGGTATAGATATTTTGCATAATGGTAACTCCTTTTTAAAATCACCCTTCCATACAAGAATCTTTACCTTAAACAACCTTCTCCATGTTCCAAATATCACTAAGAATCTCTTGAGTGTATCTCAGTTTGCTCTTGATAACAATGTGATTTTTGAGTTTCATCCACACTCATGTTTTGTAAAGGATCAAGCTACTCAGGAAGTGCTCCTCAAAGGGAAAGTTAGGGATGGTCTCTATCATTTTGATCTCAGAAGCCAGAAGTCTCAAGCACCAATCACTCCTGATGATTCAATACCTCTTAAAGGTCCTGGTGTTTTTAGTTTCAGTGTGAATAAGGCTTATGATTTAGATTTATGGCACAGAAGGATGGGACATGTTAATCATGAAGTAGTTAAGAAAGCCCTTGAACATTGTAATGTGTCTTTTGTCCTTAATGAAAATTCCAGTTTATGCAGTTCTTGTGCCATGAGTAAAAGCCATAGATTACCTTATATGCACTCTAATTTTCAATCTTCAGAACCTTTGGAACTTGTTCATACTGACTTGTGGGGGCCCTCTCCTGTGAAGTCCAGGAATGGATACTCATATTATTTGAGCCTTATTGATCACCATACTAGATACACCTGGATATACTTGTTAAAGCAAAAATCAGACACACACCAAGCTTTTATTCACTTTAAGTCTTTGGTGGAAAACCAGCTGCAGTTTAAGATAAAGTCAGTTCAAAGTGACTGGGGGGGAGAGTATAGAAGTCTCTCAAAATTTTTGAGTGATAATGGCATTCATCATAGGAGGTCTTGCCCCTATACCCCTCAGCAAAATGGACTTGCAGAGAGAAAACACAGGCACATAGTGGAATTGGGGCTGTCTATGCTTGCTCATGCTTCCATGCCAACAAAATTTTGGGATGATGCCTTTATAACTGCAGTACACATCATAAATAGAGTTCCTACAAGGGTCCTTAATTATGTCTCTCTTTTGGAAAGGTTGTTCAATCAGAAGCCAAATTACAACAACCTCAGGATATTTGGGTGTCTTTGCTACCCTTGCCTAAGACCTTACAATAGACATAAGCTGGAATACAGGTCCTTACCTTCAGTCTTCTTGGGATATAGCAATGCTCATAAAGGCTATAAGGTGCTTTTACCCAAAGGGAAGGTCATAATAACAAGAGACATTCAGTTTGATGAAAATATTTTTCCTTATGAGAGTAGGATGAAAAATGACTCTAATCACAATACCTTAATGCCTTCACCTACTGCCACACCACCTCTTATTGCTACAGAACTCTCAAGCACTAAAACCAATTCCTCACAGGCTAATCCTCAAAAACAGCCTTCACCTATACCAAACTCACCAAACTCCTTACAAAGAACAACACCACACTCACCAAACTCCTCAATCTCTTCTCATGATACTATTCCTCTTGTGGTTGAGTTACCAATCATGCAAGATATCTCTACTGCTTCCTCTCCTAACCATGTTTTGCAGGATGCTCTCATG